TTTTGGACAGACTCGGGCATATCTAGATTGTTTTTGGTAAGGAGGAGACCAGATGCAGGAACCATGTTCCGGACAAGTAGTTTAGTGGCATAAGGGTATAAATCCAACGATTGTCCCACAGTCCCTCAAAAGTCCACCTTTCCACCTTTATAAATCCAACGATTGTCCTCCAGTTCCTCCAACTTTCATCTATTTTGAGATGACCACCTTTCCACCTTTTTTACCCCTATATTATTGGATCTTTCTGTCCAAGTTCCTGCCTTTTTTCCCATTTTGCAACTAGATTTTCGTCACTCGTTCTATCCTTCTGTAAATCACTGTAGTTCTAGTGGTTCTTATCATCTATTTTTCCACCTTTTTGTAGCTCTATATTATCAGCTCTTTCCGTCTATGTTCCTGCCTTTTTGCCCAATTTTCTGCCCCATTTTCCAGCTAGATTTCCCGTAAATTCATCTACTTTTCCACCTCTTTTCCATTTAATTAGCATCTCTCCTTAAAGGTATGTTAAATTTCTTCCGTTTCTCATTATCTATCCCATTTATCTATCCTCCTCCTCCTCCTTTGGGTAAATTTTCTCGTTGAAAAAAAAACAATCTCCCATAATAATGTTTATGAATTGAAATTTAAATTGATTATGGGATCCGATAGACAGCTCGATTTGCATAATCCCAATGGATAATGAGTGGATTATGTAGTTGATTTAGGGACCTCCTCCTCCTCCCCCACCCGCACCGCACTGACGGGGGGGCGGGGGCCCTCGGAATCGATGCCAATCGATGGTTGTATTGAGAATTTTAGCCATATTCCATGACAATTAGAGTTCATTCAAAATTCAAGCGACCCAATTTTCCTGCCTTCCCCCTCCCCCCTCCCCCCTCCACCCCGCACTCCTCCTCGGTTTTGGGGGCTTTTTTGGCATTGGATTTGTATTTGTGGGCTATGTCGAAAGTTTTTCACGTGAATTTGATTATTCTTTTATTTGGCTTTCAGTTATTTATGGAAATGCAATTTATTTTTTTATCAGGTGAGAGAGTGGCAGAGCGACAGAGTGGCGGAGTGGGTCAGGGGGTCAGGGGGCACACGCACACGTGCAGTCAAATGAGATTAACAATAATTTAATTAAAACTCGGGGGCTTAATGCATTTCGCGTGTAACGGAATGCGGATGATTCTGCGGATGCTTCTGCGATGGGGCTGTCCACTTGCTGAGTATCGGTTTCTTCTTCCCTTTCAAGGGTACTTTTTTGTTGCTGTTTTTTTTTTCCACCTGAAATGAAATTTAATTAAGTTTTGCACTTATCGTTTATACAAACACACACACACACACACACACAGACAGACAAACACGACTGAACAAAGGCTGAGAGCCTCGCCCTGTCCCTCTCTCTCTTTCTCTGAATGCCACGCCCACCATTGACCAATGTCCCAGCTTTTTATAGTACTTTTTACTAGAGTATTTTCAGACAGTGTTTTTGCAGATTTTTCCAGCAGTAGTCTCTGTACTTTTGGTTCTTCTTTATATTCATTCAATTAATTAACTTTTGTGTTTGTTGTTGAGATACGCACACGCATACGTTCACGTCCACAAATATGCATAGTGTGCGTGTGTGTGTGTGTGTGGGTGTGTGCACATATACGGTTTTTTGGTAGAGAAAACCAACTCTGTTCCGGCACAAGACTTTATACATTATTTATCACTTTTTGCACTATTTTAATCGGATTTATGCATTTTCCTTGCGAGCATGTGTGGAAAATTCCTTCCCACCTCCTCCCCCCCGCTCTTTATTATATTTATAGTTGGAATAATTGTAGTTTTCTTTTACTTGAATAAATGCCAACTAAGTCAAAGATTTCCTTAGGTTTATTGTACGCCAAAAAGCAATTCAGAGCAGGATAATTACCTTTTGCGAACCACTCCAGACAATAGAATAGAAAGACAATGTTTTTCCTGGCCAGCGTGGGCCTCAATCGTTGCATAATTCGGCTTAAATATTTAATAGTCAAAGGCAGAGAACCACGCCCGCAGGAGGGCTGTACTTTTTGTATTTCCTCTGCTGTAATCGTTTCTGACACATTAAATTTATAAAACTACTAACTATACAGTACATAAATATTTAATTGATATTTATTCTCTCTCACGCAATAAAAGCAAGTTTTTCATATGAAAATATTTGTAGTTTTCGAGAGACATTAACTTGTTAAAAATAAACAAACATGTAAAAAGTAGGTCCCGAATTCCAGGAGACTAAAACACGTGCAACCCCTGCATGGAAACCAAACACATGCATGTCTTGAGCGTGACTGCAGCATCTATTGGCTTAGAAATAATCTTCGTATCCTAAAATACTACATTTATTGAATGGTTTTCTGTTGGATGTGACACAACACAAGGTTGAGGTGTACCTTCAGGAGTCTAGTGTTTGAAAACACACTAGCACTAGAATAAAGTACAGTTTTAGGTGTTTTAATCGAGTTTGAGTCGGCTCGCAGAACAGATCGCCTAGCGGTCTCGGAAATAGCAATTTTGGTTTGGTTTTACATGTTTTTTGGCATAATTTGACCCGTTCTTTAGGAAATCATTCCGTCTACTTACTACTACTAGACCTACTTCCGTCTTTTCGTTTTTTAAAAAGGACTTACAACAACCCAAATTTATTTCTTATAATTATGACACTCTATTGATTTTGGATACAAAATATTTTTCCTTTATTTACTTTAATCAATGATGAATGTCCCACATACCTACTGGCCTTGAACACCCTGTGTTATGAAGACCTTTACCATATAATCTGTTCTGTTCTGTTCCGTTCTGTTCTGTTCTGGTTGCAACATTCTTATAATCCACACGTGTTAGTCTTTCCACCTATGTATGTATATCATAATCCCCGAAACTTTTTCCCATCTACTACTAATTTTGAAATGTTTAATTTTCATTGCGAAATTACTGAATATACAACTGCTCGTATTTGCAAAATTTCATGAAACTCCTTTGATTACACGAACCAAAAGGTTGTGTAATATTTTCCCTAGTCCTGGCAATAATTGCATTTATTTTTCCCCATTTCCACGTTCTGTTGAATTTTCATTCCCCCAAAAGGCCCCATCCCCTTCCCTGTCCCCGTCCCCTTGCACCCCTTGCACCCCTTCTTGATGATGTATTTGATGTGTTCCAAGTAAAACCTTTGGCTTTCGCTGCAATTTTCAACTTATTTGCCCCCGAATGACCTTCAGAGCGATGGGTGGCATGAAAAACGGGTGGCTGGGGGCTGGGGGGTGGATTGAAGTCCAACTGCAGTTGGGTTCTAATTGGAAATGGTCTTTTTTTTTGGTCTATTTTTGTTTGGTTTTTCTGTTATTTATATTTTAATGAACTGAAAATATTTGTGTGTAATCCTTTTGTTGTTGCTGTTTTTCCTCTTATTTGTCATAATATTAATTACGTAATTCAATTTGAAGCCAATTTACCGTTATGTTTTAATCCCTCTCATTAATTTGCATACGACGTGTACGTGGGCGAGGGAGAGGGGACGACTACGTGTGCGTAATGCAATTCCCGTTAACCGTCGAAGCACTCGTAATGCGAGGAGAGGGGGGGGGGGGATAATAATGCTATAACCCAAAGGGGATAACTATAGTCCATAAATTATCAGGAATTATGGTTAAATAATTACAAAAATATGCCAAGAACATAAGATGGGCATTTCTGCACTCCTTAAATATTCAGTAAATTCAGTAGAACCATCGAACTCCGTGATCTGAGCAGTAAATAGTTCATGAGTTGTCATAAAATCCATCCGTTGAGGGCCACTCCAAACGGTTGGGGTCCACTCAAAGATTAGAGCAGGCTGTTTTACTTCATAGACCCTAAACTCTATTGAGACTCTTTTGCTAAGTTTCCGCTTATTTTATCCCCTAAATAAATATGATCATGAAATTATTTTATATATTTTCACTCAGCCCAACAGAGGTGCACTCTTTACTGTTAAAGTGCACTCAGAGAGATGCTAGGCAGCAGCACTGTTGGGTGCAGAAGTACTCAAAGTCAACCAACAACCAGCTCTCACTCACTCACTCACTCTTGTGTTGATGCTCTGCTCTGTGCTCAATAAGACAACCATGCGCATTTGGCGATGCGAGCGAGACAACCATAGTACCAGCCAGATTTTCTGACTAGGCAGCACCAAAACGTACTCAAGCAAGTACACCCCCGTCGTCGCACGGGCTGTCACAACAGAAAATGTTCAGCAGATATTAAGCGTGAGTGAGTGAGTGCGAGAGTCGAATCTTATGAATTTTTCTACCGCTAAGCGGCGCATTCAACATCTAGTTTCCTCTTCTCGTTTACAGTATTTCCATTTAAAATGAGTGCTTGCTTAATGTTAGGTGCTTAACATGAGTGGGATGTTAAGCAGCAATGTTAAACGAGACACTTACCATTCTTTTGCTCTCTCGGTGTATTAGCACAACGAGGTGGTTGCGTTGCTCTCTCTTCGAAAATTTAATACAAGTGAGTAATTAATGTTAGCATGTCTTGTAGAATATCATGCGGATAAAACTATACATGGCGATATATTTTAATCGATAAATCCGCGGTCACACTGGTTGCTTCAATATTCCCATTTAACAAAATTTCAAACGCTCCCGCGGCGTATGAGCACAACGAGGTGGTTTTGTTGCTCTCTCTGCTGGGGTTCTTTCGGCGCCGACGGCAAGGTGGGACTCGAATTTTGCTCTGTTTAGTGGTGGGATGCGATCTAAGGCATATCAGAACAGAAGAGAGCCGCACACTCAATTTTACGTTGCAGCGCTGCTTGAATATGGTAAACAACACGAAAGGGGTATTAGCACAACGAGGTGGTTATGTCGTTTCGCTTTGCTCTCTCTGCTAGGGGCGGCTCTGCCGACGTCGACGGCGGCGTTGCAGCGATGAGTTTTTTCAATGCTTCAATACGCTGCTTCAATATTTCAATTTCACAAAATTTCCAACGTTTGAATTGAGCGGTTGCTGCGCTGCGTCTCCGCAACGTTTTTTTTCGTCAGAGTGAAGAAGAAAAGATATATCTCTACAAATCTGAAGAAGGGAAAAGTCGTCGAGCCAAGTGAAAAGTGACCAAGTTTCGTAATAGCAATAAAAAGTAATATCCGAGTAAAAACGGCAATTGGCGCATTGCAAATGCAAATTTAAAGTGTGCGAACGAGCAGGAAAGCAAGCCAGCAAGCGAGAAAGAGTGTGCAAAGAAGAGGCGGCAATAAGCAACACACACAAACACACAAGTACACACATCAAAGAGAGCTACAAACAAAACGAAATTGTTACTAAAAAAAAACGTTCTCCAAGCAGCGGCAAAAAACAACACAAAAGAAAACGTGAGCTCTAACTTTGATTACTTTTCCTTTAATGACTTTGCCGCGTGCGTTTTTTTTTCTAACGGTTGCTGTGTGTGTGTGTGTGTATTTTGTGTTTGATTAAGAACAAATTAAGCATAATTAAAGCGTTCTCTTAGTCTCAGCTCGCCCTTCCTCCCTCGCTCTGTCTCTTTCTGCGTCTCTTCTCTTATTCCTTGTATTTTTACCCCAACCGGCAAAGCCGTCGCGTGTTGCTGTCTGTCTGCCTGCCTGCGTGTGTGTGTGCTTCTTAATGTAAGTGTATGTGTGTGTATACAGTTTTTTTTTTTTTCTTTTTGTGCAAAAAATATAAAGGAAGCAGCAGCAGCAGCACACAGCATCCACAAGATCCAACACCATCCACAAGGGCTTCGAGGCGGCGGTCCAAGCCCCACGCCGCTCCAAATTGATTTTTGTATGCTGGCGGCGCTCTGTCGACGGCGGCGGCGACGGCGGCTCTGTCGTTATTTTTTTTTTGTATTTTCTTATTTGCCTTCTCACGTTTTTTGCCTGTTGTTATTGTTAATTCCTTTTGTGCCTTGCATTCGGGTTCTGTGAGAGAGGGAGAGAATACAATGAAAGGGCTCAGTGGAAAGATGCGATGGATTGATACCGTGTAAATCATTAACCATGTTAAAACCACAATTACTGATAACCATTTCTTTTTTTGTTTCGATTGCCTATTCTACAACTCTTATCAGACATTCGACCTGGTATTTTTCTGAATGGGAACATAAACCTTAACAGTAATCTTAAGCAGTGCCAAAATGCTCTCTGTATACCCTGCCATGCCATGCCATACCATACCATACCAAAACGCGTTTCGTTTTACGCGCGTCTTTACGGCCGCTGCTCTCTGTCTCTCTCTCTTGTTCTCTAAAATTGAGCGCAAGTCGCTCTTTATGCTCAATTGTTCAATTGCGCTGGGGCCAGACAAACTGGCTCTGGATGCACGAGTGTGAGTGTGTGGCGTCGTTTAGTGTTGTAAAGCGACGCCCAGCTTGATTTTTGTAATTTCTAATTGGCGTGGCCAGCGCACCCGTAAAGCGCGCGATTTTCCCTTTCCTCTTCCACTCTGCTCTTGTGCCCCTCTTCTGTTGTGCTGCACTGCATTCCCGAATCAATTTTTGGCACGCTCTTCTCGTCTTTGTGGCTTAAAAAAGGCGTTGACAGGGTGTGGGACGGGACTCCCTTTGACTACACTCATACATAGACCATACCAGGGTTCTTATCGAATCCTGGCAAGACCCTCGGAGGCAGTTTTCATCCCAATAAGAAATTCAATTCTGATTACTGTTCAAGGCGCAAAAACCGACGTCTCTGTCGCTGCTTCGCTGCACTTGAGCAGCAGCGGCGCTGGAAGACGCGGATTTGAATTTTTCGCTCTCTTTGTGGGACACGTCCCACGTCCCACGATTCCCGCTCTCTCGCTATCTCTCTCGTTGGCTTTGTTATTGTTACGGCATATCATTCATGGTTGGCCGGAGAGTGTGGGAGGTGGAGGGAAGTGCAGTTAGTTTCATTCACTTATTTATTATTCATCAGGTACTGGAAAGCCAATTAGATTCCATTACACAACTGATATATTTACTGTGAATTCTATCCGACTAGTCTGCTATTTCGTTTTTTTCCAGCTATTTCTAAAAAAAACAAAAACTCAACCGAGACGTGCGGTGCTTTTCTGTGAATGATATCCGCACTGATTTGTCGCTCAATTCCTCAAAATGATCTCCTCACCTTCCCCTCTTTGCATTGACTTACTCGAATGATCTTTGCACTGCTCTGTGAATGAAATCCTCCTAGTGGTCTCGCTCAATCTCGGCTTGCTCTGCTCTCCCTGCCCTCCCTTTTTCTGATTTCATGCTCGGTCTCGGGCTTTGCCTGTGCCTGTGCCCGTGCCTTTGCCTTTGCTTTATGTTGCATTTCCTTTTCATGTACTTTTTTCGCACTCTGCCTATTTTGTTCATGTGCTTTGTCGCCAGCGACGTCGCCGTTGCCATCTCCTCAGTCGTCAACGTCATCAACGTTTTGCCCTGCCTCTTGCTGTTGTTGCGCTGCTTTGTGCTTTCTGTGTGCATTTTCTTTGCTATTTCTCATTTACTTTGCTCTGTCGCTTCGCTCGTTCCCCTGCCTAGGCCTCGCCTCTGTCTCTCCCTCCGTTTCGTTTCGTTCCGTTCCGTTCCGTTCGTTCTGCTGCGTTGGATTTCAACCTGTCATGGGAGAGAGGTGGGTGGGTGGAAAACGGGGGTCTGTGTGTGTGTGAGTGCAGATTGAGGTCTGTACTTTGTTGCACTTTCTTGCCTCTGTCTGCATCTGCCTCTGCCTGCATTTTCTAACTGGTTGGACTAGGATCCAGCGTCGCTAAGTCGTCGTCGTCGTTTTGCTTCGAAGCCCCACCAGAGCCAAAAGCACTCAACCCGTTTTGGTGGGAGGAACGGGGGCGGGGGGGGAGACAGTACAGTGCACACACGCTAAGTAGAGATTGGAATTATGGATACCCTGAGAGGCATAGGCAGGCAGAGAGAGGAAGAGGGTGTTCCTGAATGGAAAGCAGGCATCCCCCCCCCTTCCCCAAAGAGTATTTAAGGCTTCTCTTCGCCCAACTGGCCATCTGCGTGGAGACCCCACTGTAGCCTGCTGCAGAAGTGGTCACACATAGGCTTTTCAGTAGAGCTTCCACTGGCTTCTGGTGCTGCTTGCCGACTGCCTTGCCACTTAACCGCTTTTCCGTCTTTTGTCATTTCACACTCTCCTTGGGGGCCAGCAGCAGGTTGCAGAAGGGGCAACCACCTGACCTGCCAACCAATTGGCGTATGCCACCAAATGTCATTTAACCCACACCACCACACCCGGCCCACTCGTGGTCGGCAGGGGGGTAGGGGGTAGGGGTAGGGGTAGGGGGGGTGGTTAAGGTCTGGCTGGCTGAAATATTGTATGCAAGGGAAATGTAATCATTATTGATTTTGTTTTGGGGCTGCTCTGCTGGAACTCGAGCGAGTGGAGACATGGATCCCCGAGTCGCCTGTGGGCCTATTCCGAGGGGGTTGGGGGGCACCGCTCTCTCGCACACATTAGTATGTTAGATTATCCAAGGCTTCGCCTTCTGCTGAGGCTGCTTAAATATGCAAAAGCGCCTTGCGAATCCTTGTGGGAGAAACCAGCAGCAGGAGGAGCACAAACACACACACAAACACACACACACACACACGCACATTAGAAATTTAACAGGTTAATGTCCAAAGTCGTAAACGAGACCATTTATTTATGGCCACATTCTGTGTCGTCTCCCCCGCCTCACCGCCTTCCTGCCTGGTTCTCCTAATTTTCATAAAATATATGGAGAGACCACTCGCACTCCCACTCCCACTCGCACTCCTCTCCCGTTGAGTGGTGTGTGTGTGTGTGTGTGTGTGCGTGTCCTGAACATAAAAATCTCTGAGACCTTGAAGGGCTTTGATAATGACTGCGCGTTCCTTTCTCTCTCTCTCTCTCCCGCTCCCTCTCCCTCTCTCTCGCTCCGTGCCTTTGCCACCCTCTTTCGGCTGGCAGCATAAGCTTTATGTTGTCGAGCTCCGGTTTTTTTGGGGGTTGGAGATACTCTGTCGCTTGCGTTTTTTCCCCAGTTTCGGGCCAGCTGTCGGATTTGTCAAAGGAGTGAAGGACTCCTCGGTCGACTCTTGGGGCAGCTCTTGTGTGTGCGGCAGGAAGTTACTTTTGACTGGGAAGCGGCGGCCAGGCGGCCCGGCGGCCAGGGATGTGGTAGGGAGGAAAAACGTATCTGGACGGGGAATACATGTATCCGTGAGGAGTATGAAGGTTGAAACGACACAAAACGGGAGCTAAAAATGCAAGTATCTTTTGTGGGTAACAGGGTATTTAATACGCGGCAGGAGTATCTGTAAGATACATTTTTCATTTTAAATGAGCGCTGAATAATTATCTTTTGGGGTTGATGACAATGTATCTTTTATCTATGGTGTATCTTTTGTATCTTTTCCTTGTGAAATGTATCTGATGATGGTGCATTTTGGTCAATCACTGCCAGAATCACCTGGAAACCTTTTTCAATGGATCAAAAAGTATATGCTAATCGAAAGATAGTCATTAGAACGGGTTGCCGTTACCGTTCAAATGTTAAATCAGATGCAGATACTTTTGGCACCCCAAAATGTATCTGTCATCGCATGAAGGAAGTATTTATCAATTCAAAAACTGTTCCAAGTATCTAGTCAATCCACAAAATATGCGCAATCTGAATCCGTTGGATCGTTCAACCAGTTTCGATTTGCATCTCAAAATGTATCTGCAATGTGCGGGGAACCAGTTCTACTAAGCGAACGAAAACAAAAAAACATGTGAAATTTCATCAATTCCGACAGATACACGGATACGAAGGAAAAGTCAGATGCCTTCAAGTTGGCTAAGGAATGCATCCACGGAATGTCCGTGTGTGTGTGTGTGTGCGAACATCATTTGCGCTAATCGAAAACGCATCTGCAGAATGCATCTATCCAGCAGCAGCAGCAAAGATACTTGCAGACAATCCATCTATCCATCCATCCAGTGGCATGACCATTTCTAGGAATTTTGTAGGCCTTCTTTTTCTGTCTTTATTTTTTTTTTTTTTTTGCTAATTAGCACACAACAAAACCTCGATGGAACATCGAAGCTAGCAGCCATCATTGATTTTTCCATAGAGAGAAAAGTGGCAAAGCGGTTCTGGCCATTTCGGTGGATCGGGGGGGCCTTATTTGGCACCGTGGCCCAAGAGTTTTTCCTGCGCAAGAGATATCTCCAATTTGTCGCTGGCTGCATAGCTCAGATACACAGATACACGGATACTTGTACTAGGTGTGTGTGTGTGTATTTTTTTTTTCTGCATTCATCCGCCGCCGTCCCATTCGAAATGTCAACGTATCAATCGTGTTCGCACTGCCGCTCCAAAAATACACGCCGTACATATCTCACAGATACATCGATATGGAAGCAAATCTTTTGGCACGTCAGCAAATTAAACAAATTCTAAACGATTCCCCGACCCGACCTGTTTATGCAAATCGCACAACGCCGCCGTAGCCGGGGAATATCTTGTTCGCTCAAGATCCCCCCCTCGCCACCCCCTCCGCCCCATCGAAATGGTATACAAAGGCGGAATATACTCGCTCGCAGCAACAATTTTATTAAGTTTCGAACTGCCCCTGCAACGAATGTGTGGGCAGAGAATAGAGCGTTGAGCGGTGGACGCCAGAGGGGGTTCGCGGGGGGGCAATCTGTTGATTAATAGTTCATTATGATGGAAATAGATCTCTGGAAATGAGTTGCTTTAGTTTCCAATGAAATTATTTATCGATTAATAAAGGAAACTCCTTTCGGGGGGCGATTGAAGTGAAATGTTGTAAGATGAGATTTTCAGAGACCAGCCACAGATACAAATACAAATTGAACGGTTCCTGGAACTAGTATCTTTTACTTGTTCGGCCTGGATCAGCCTCTCCGTTGATTTGAAATTGAAAACATGTGGCAAAAACATATAAAAGCAGCACGGAATTTATTCGTAGGAATTTTGCTGCTCCCAAAAGGCGGAACTTGAGTACATTTTCTCCCGAATATATATTACAATTTTTCAATTTGCAACTCAAGTACGCCTCGTCCTTGGTCCTTTTTTCACTCCACATTCCTCAGCCTTGTTGCCTCCTTTTATCACTCGATTTTTCAGCCTTTTTTCCCCTCGCTTTTCTTTTCGCGTCACCTTTCTTTTTTTTTGATGGCATTCTTAACCTTTTGCGCGCGAACTCTTTGTTGTTGCAATTATTTGCCGATGATGTTTCCATTGTTTTAATATAAACCCGGCCCCTCCCCCACCCCCCATTCCTTTCCGTACCGTCTATTCCATTAATTATCTAAACACGGGTCTGACGCATCGCACCGCCCCAAGAGAGGGGCAGGGAGAGGGAGGGAGAGGGAGAGAGGCATAGCGCTTTGCTCTCTCCAGTTTTATTTTATTTTTTTATTTGATAAACAATTATGATGATGTGCCTCTGCCTCTGCCTCTGCCGCTGGTCCGCTCTCTAAAGACGCCTTCGGTTTTTGCCGTTTATTTGGTTTTAAATGTTTTTCCTTTTTGCTTTTTTTCTCTTTTTTTTTTTGATGAAGTAAACTAAAAATTTGTGTTTGTTGCTTTTGCTTTTTCCTTTTGTTTTGTTTATTTGTCGGCATTTTCATTCATAGACAAAGTGGGACGGACGGACGGTGGGAGGGAGGGAGGGGGGGGGGGGGGGGGGGGAACAGTTTTAGATGATAAATCTTTTTATGCGAGGGGCAGCACGCGCTTTTTATAAACAGATACAGATGTCTATCTGCCGCTGCGTAACTGTATCTCTATCTGTGCGTGTGTGTGTGTGTGTGTGTGTGGCATTATCATTAGCTTTGGCGATTGGGGGGGATTCGCCCTCTCTCTCTCCCTCTCTCTCTCTGGCGTCCGTACCCACAAGTTCATTAACTTTCGGAGATTTGTGCGCGGGGGCAACAATTTGTCAAAAATTCTGTCAGACATGCGATTTTTTAATTATTATTTTATATACAACATTATGTACAATAATATTTTATTGTCTTCTCAATCTCTCTCTCTGTGTGTGTGTGTGTGTGTGACCCACATGGTGTTGGGGCTTGGAGCATAATTTTGATTTCTTCTTTATAATTACGTCTATACCCTCTCTGAAGGGGAGGGTCATTTCGATTACTCTTAAATGGAGAAATACTGAAATATTCCAGAGTGTTATCCAAGGAACCAACAAGTGCCCAAGGAGCCCCAAAAACAGGTCGTTATGGTAGCCAAAAGGCTCCTGGGGGCCCTGTTTCTTTAGAGCACATTCTCAGGCGCCTTCGTTGAAAGTTCCCCTAAACGAAAGGCTGCACTCGTTGGAGTTCCTAAATAGTTATCAAAGTGGCGAAAAAGGAACAGAAATGAGCCAAATTTATTCTCTTTTATTTCTTCCATTTATTGATTAATATATTACTATATATATTTGATTTTTTTGGGTAGGAATTTTAGGCATTCAAAAAATGAACACCCGTTGGATTTTTGCCCCCCAATTCGAGGTTCGTTTGAAGCTCTAGGATTTTCGCTGTCGGGTGTCGTTGTAGGGTATCTCCCTCGGCAGTCAGGCCGTGTTTTCTTACCCGTTTTCTATTTATGTTTGACATGCGAGACGCGAAGACAGCAGCAGAGCTGCTCAATAAAAGTTTACTCAAGCAATTAAGGCAGAGACGAAGTTGCGTCCGGTTTATATTTTTGCTCGTATTTTTTTGGAGTTGTCTGCCGCCTGCTGCTGCCTGCCCCACTTGACCATTTGCAGATGGAACGAGTGAATGAGTGAATGAATGAGCGAATGAGTGAATGAATCATTGACTGAGTGAACTACCTGCTGTGCTGGTTTACTTCAATGTTGATCATAATCCGTTTTTTGTTTTTTGGACGGGGGTTTTGGCTACCAGTTCCGTTTTATTTTTTTTTTTTTTTGTTTGGCGGCCCCATGTGACGTCAAAGAACAGGGCGCGGCATCGGCGGCGGCAACTCGTTCAACCAGATACAGATACACTTGTATCTCGGTATCTGAGAGGGCCAACAGCTGACTGCCATTGCGGAAATGCATATACCCGTTACGCTCAAGGGTATCCTCCGCGCATCCATCAAATCTGCATAGACCTCCAGAGAGGGAGGGCATGTCTGGGTAGTTTCCTGGTGGCCCACTCCCCCCCACCCCCAGCATGAAGTAATTTTCCGTTTCCATTTCCTGCCCAAAACGAAGCCAAACATTGAAAATGGTTTTTCCAACAGCTGTTTGTGGGGGGAAAAATATTGAGAGAAAAGAATAGAAATACCCAATAAATTGATCTTTTGGCGGTCTACAGAATTTGTTTATCTCTGAGAAACGAGCTCGAGGAATACTTTCCCTTTCCCTTTCCCTTTCCCTTAAGTTCAATAAATTATTTACTGCATTACGCATTTAGCAGGTAATTAGTGCGAGTGGATCCCTGGATCCCTGGAGCCCTGACAGGCCCTGCATCTATTTATTTATTTAAATTCTCCATAAATCTTGTATTTATTCTCATTCTCTCTCTCTCTCTCTCTATCTCTTTCAGGTACGTGTCTGGGCATTGATTTTCCCCCCTCTAAAGAATTTTCGTGTAAGTTTTTTTTTGTTTTTGTTTTTGTGGGTCATAAAATTGCTGACCGTGGAATAGATTTTTGTCTGTGGGGGAACGGGAGGGGGTGGGGGCAGTTTTCCACGGCAGCAGATGTTTGTTTTTCCTAATTACAGACTCAATCTTCCAATCGTTGGCCGGCAATCCATAACGAAGGGGGGCAAGGGGCGGCACGATCTCGGTAGAACAAGGGTACTCCCGAAAATAAACGATTTCTCGCCTTGGGATGCAATTTTTGTAATGTGATTGGAATGTACGCGAGGAAGGGGATCCCCTGGAATCTATCATTTTCTCATTCGGTTTGGTATTTGAAGAAAAAGGAGATGAGGATCAGAGTGATCTGGGGACTTACTTTGGGGACATTATTTCCCCCGACTCTTCCCCAAAAAGATATATCTTATAGATACATACATATTTCTTGATATATTCATAGATTTTAACATACATTTATACGTTTTTAAGGAGAGAAGAATAGTACATATTTACATCTCGATAAACAATCTACTACTGCGAGTTCAACTTTTTTATTATTATTATTTATAATTCTTTAATTTTTGTTTTTTAATTTTTTTTTTAGTTCTTATATATTTTATAAAAGTCATTTATTTAAAAAAATATGTTTTTTGAATTCTTTTAGTTTTACTATTATTTTTTAAATTCTTTTATTTTTTATTTAATTATTTCTTTTATTTAACTTAATTTTTTATTTAAAATTTTACTTTTCTTTATTTTGTATTATTATTATTTTTTTGATTATTGTTTTATTATTTATTTGATTATTATTTTATTATTTATATGATAATTATTTTATTATTAATTTGATTATTTAATTATTTATGTGATTTATTTTTTACTATTATTATATTTCTATTATTTGTTCTACTATTATTATTTCTTGTATTTATTTTGTATTATTTCATTAACTTTGTTTATATTATTAATTTTTTTTTTTATTATTTCTTTAAATTTATTTATTTTTACTATTGTCAGACTTTAGGCTCTCTCTCACAGAGTAACTTAGCAGTGATAGGGTGAGAGCTCTATCCGAGTGAGAGAGATCTGCTGTAGACTGTAGCACGTTCTGATAGATCCTTGTCTCCCTCTCTCTCTCTCTCTCTCTCTCGCAGAGATCTTTTCCCATGCCTTCTCTGTGGTTCACCGAACCCTGCGCCCAAAAGCTCAATTAGTTTTTTTTTTTTTCCGATTTCCGATTATTCTCGGCTTGAAACTAGAACCGGAATCCATATTCCAACAGATAAAAGATAACAGTAATTCCAGACAGATTTTAGTTGGTTAACCATTTCCGTTGGGGCCAGACTACAGCCAAAGAGAGGGCTAGAGAGAGAGGGAGAGACGGAGAGAGGATGTTGGCAATTTTGGTCCGCTCCTCCCCCTTGCGGTCGTATCTTTGTATCTGGCATTTAAGAGATGGCATCCAACTTTGATGATGGCTCACAAATAAATATCTAAGAAAAATGGTTCCAAGCAAAGAAAATTCATTTTTCCCTGCTGGAAGAAAAACTAGTTTTTCCTTTGTGTACGTGTGTACGTGTACGTGTACGTGTGTATGTTTTTCTCTCTCTCTCTCTCTCTCTCTCTTTTGGTTTCGGAAAAAGTTTTCTCTGCAACAGCGGCAGCGGCAGCGGCAGCGGCTCGTGGTTATCCGGCAGCAGCACAAAACTCGTCGTATCATGGCAGAGCCTCTCCTTCTGTCTCCTGCCTCCCCGTCCCCCCGTCCACCGTCCCCCGTCACATCCCAAAAAGTTTTCCATCATAATCTACTTAACTTTTGCTGCAATCAATTGCAGACTTTTTGTAGCAGCGTTGTGCCGCCTCATTGCATCTTACACACACACAAACACACACACACACACACACACACACACCGAGAGGCAGAGAGAGACAGCCCCCTCACCTTCTGTGTGCGGCCCCCCACCCTCCCCCGGCACTGTGCTGAGGCTTTCTTTGTGTAGATACAAAACGTACTGAGAGATACTTGCCGGACTGCCTGCCTGCCTGCCTGCATTTGCTGGTGTTTCTTTTTTGCATTGCACGACGGACCGTTAATAGAAAAGTTGTCAATGTTTTTCCTACTCGACAGAGAGAGAGAGCGAGCAGGGGAAACGGGGCACTGAGGGGGGGAGAAGTGTCAGCCATTCTTATCTTATCACCCACCATAAAGGGGAGAGGGGAGAGGGGGAGGGGGGATGTGCTGCTGTCGTTTTGCATTGAGACTGGAGAAGGGAGGGGGTGGCAGGGGAGGGTGGGATGCATCTGTTCTGCGTTGCGCTGCGTTTCGTTTTGTCCGGTTGCAGGTACTTAGATTTAGATACAGATACAGCTACAGCTACAGCTTCTTCAACAAGCAAAAAGCTATCTAAATAGGGGTAAAGGGGGGGCAGTGCCAGAGAGATGTATAGACACAACCCACAGCCCACAGACAGCAGGCAGCAAACATGTATGCCGTACAGATACAATATCTTATAGATGCATTCAAGCGTAATTGTTGTTACCTATCCACGCGAACGCGACTCTCTCGCTCTGCATCTTTTGTTGCATTCTCCCACTCTCTCTCTATCTCTCTCTCTCTCTGTCCGTATCTCGAGTGCTTCGAAGATTGATTACTATCTTGAATAGAGTTGTTCCCAAAGTATTCCATAATCCAATAATTAGGGGGGATCATTCGCTGGCCCAAAAGATACGCCCCGTGTATCTGTAAGATGTGCAAAACGTTCTTCTCTCCGTTGGCCTGCTTAGTCATGTTCTCTTTTGGGCTGTGGGGAGATTCTGTGGCTCTTGGGTCAAGCCCCATATTGAACCTACAGTTTCTCCGCCTCCCCTTGCCCCGTATTTGTATCTATGGGTTGTGTGTGAGTGTGTGTGCGAGTGTATCTCGTCTTTCAAAATTGGCACATGTGTCTGCCCCCCTGGGCTTCTCTCTCTCTCTCCCTCTCTCTCTCTTTCTCGTTCACCATTTGCGATTTAGTTTCGAGCTTAAGGCTTTTGTGCTCTGCTGACTTCTGGCTAATTGTTTGCTGCTGTTGACTGTATTTGTATCTGTATCTGTGTGTGTGTGTGTGTATCTGTCCGAGAGCTGGTAGTATCTGTATCTGCGAGAGCATCGAGTATCTATTGCAATTGCATTGTTGTCTCGTTTGTACACATAATTGTAATTGATAGTTTGACTTTTACACAGAGAGAGTAGGTGGAGGAGAGAGAGGGAGAGGGAGAGCGAGAGGGCGAGTGAAATGTGAATTATTTAAGGGATTTCGTTGCTGTTGTTGTTGCTTTATCGCTGTATCCGTGACAAGGTAATTGGATAGCAAATCCGAAAATGGAGCAACTCTTAGAAAAAGACCTTCAGCTTGACAGCGAGCGAGAGAGAGGGAGGGAGAGCGAGAGAGAGAGAGAGAGAGAGAGGGACAGAGACAGAGACAGAGATTCGACCGAAAAATACTCGGGCTTTGAACTATGATATTTTCCTTCATTGCCGCATTGAACTTTTCACAGTTTTGTGGCGAAAACCAGTTGGGGTATTTTCTCCCCCCTCCCCGTGTATCTATAAGTATTACTCATACGGCCAGTGGAACCTGGGGGCCAGCTTTCTCATCCTTTTTCCTTACGATTTGTGCATTTCAAATGGTGGACGATTCGCGGTAGGCAGAATTTTTGAATCGTTTACACGACATGTATGTTGCTCTCCTTTGAGTCTCGAGTCGAGCATTACCCAAGTATTTGCAAATCTATCCGCTTGAGATATGGACCAGACAGCATCCGTGAGTACCAGCGGGTGCTGATAATTTGGGCTTTTAATCCCCACGAATCCCCAGAACCAATCTTGATGGGGAGTACGTCCACCCCCCGTCCGCCCCGCGCAACAGTCCCTCATTCTATTGCGAACTCAATCGAAGAATGCTCTCCGCCTCTATCACCGTCTTCCGTGCTCTTTCTTCCCACATGTGCACAGCCTCTGTCCATGTGTCCATGTGTCCATGTGTCCATGTGTGCGTGCGTGCGTGTGCGTTCCGTTGGTTCTTCTTCGTTTGCTCTTCTTGCCGTTTCTTTCGTTTTTCTTGTGTTTTTTTTTTGCGTATATCAAGCGTTCATTGCCCGCGTTTTGCTGTGTCTGCTCTTTTCTTTCCCGCGTGCTTTTGCTTTTGTTGTTGTTGCTGCTGCTGCTTCTGTGTGTGTGTCTGTTTTTGCCGCTGCATTTTGATTTAATTTTTGTTCATTTTATTTATTTTTAACATACACAATTTGTTAATCTGTCGTTTTTTTTCCTCGTTGTTTGGAATAATTTTGCATTTTGTGGGTGAGAGAGAGGAGGAGAGGGAGAGAGGAAGGGGTTAACGATTGCCCTGTGAACTCTTGGTGGAGCGATGCGCTCACTTCAAGGTCACTGGGGTTTGACCCTCCTATTGCATAATGAAAGAGCTATTTATTGAGTGTTCTTCTGGCTAGCAGCCTATCGATTGCCAGTTGATTATTTATCGATGAATGCAGAGCACATTCCGGGGATCTTCCACTTCCTTTCTTTGGTTCGAATAAATCACAGACTTTCCTTTCCTTATTGCCGTTTTTTTTTTTGTTCTGGGCTGGACAGTGTAATTATCGTGCACTATTACTACATATTTATCGCCAGCCCCCCAACCCCCCACCCCCTGCCTCCTTTGCCCCCTGCAACCGAGTGCTGATTAATCTCTGTTTAGCGATTGCTTATCAACTTATGGTCTTAGTCGTAGTCTGCCAATTCTTTGACTCATTTAATCAGTTTATAAATGCTATACATTGTATATATGTGTGTGTGTGTGTGTGTGTGTGTATTTATAGAGCCCCTTTGCCTTTGCGCGACGGAGCGGCGGTGGGCGGGGGGAGGGCTGAGTTTTCTTGTACTCTTTCTGGTGCGCTTCCTCGGCCGCTTTGTCTTTTCCGATGCATTTCATTTGCAGCTTTAATTTAACTTTAGCGAAAAGTAACCACAA